CTATAGGGCGTGTGCGCTCGCCAGACAGACAGAGAGAGACATAGAGACAGAAAGCGAGAAATCACCCCCCCAGAGGGGATGGTTACTCCGCAATCCCTTCTCCTCCATTCTCCTCTCGGGATCTTTGGCACGCATGCACACTCGCCCGGCGTGAGTTTTAAGCCACTGGGTCCGGGGCGCGAACTGCGGTCGACTACGTGGGAGGCCAGCGACATAGTCATTACGCTAACTGCTGGTTCCCAAAGAGGGAAGTTTATTTAGGAATAGAAATGTATTAGCTGCTAATGTTGTAGCTTAGTGAAAATACCAAGATGTGGGCTTCTGAAGGGAAATAAAGTGTGTAGCTTGTTTCAAGCTTACTATGGTCCCCAAAATATTATTAAGATTCTAAAGTTTATCATCATTATTATTACTTTCCTTTTTAAAATGTGCATTGTTTCCTAAATGTTAGGTTTTAAAGAAATATATGTGAGGGACCAGCAGTTAGCATAATGGCTATGTTGCTGGACTCCCATGTAGTTGACCACGGTTTGAGTCCCGGACCCAGTGGCTTAAACCCACACCAGGCGCATGTGTGTGCGTGCCCAAGATCCTGAGAGGAGAATGGAGGAGAAGGGATTATGGCGTGGCCATCCTCCCTGGGGGGTGATTTCTCGCTTTCTGTCTCTCTGTCTCTCTGTCTTTCTGGCGAGCACATGTGCCTTATAGCAAAAAGAAAGAGAGAAAGAGAGAAATATATGTGAATAGTCTTGCAACTTCCATGAGTTTCTTGCCAATAGTAAAGTTACAGAGTGTGCATCCCAATACTGGCTTCACAGTTCAATTTGGAAGATTATATATAGTTTTAAGATTTCACATAAAGTTTGCTTCAAATGTTCATTCAACGAGCCATGCAGGGCCGGTTCCATGGCCTGGTGGTTAAGGTGGCCTGATCCCACATGGCTGGCTACACAGTTCAAATTCCAGCCCTAGCGGCTTGAGAAATATGCCAGGCCTGTGTGCATGTGTACCCACAATCCCAATGGGGGGAGAAATGGAGGGAAAGGGATGGCAGCATGACCATTCCAATGAGGACTGAATTCTCCTCTCTCTCTCTCTCTCTCTCTCTCTCTCTCTTTCTCTCTCTCCCTCTCTGTATCTCCCTCTAACAAGTGCATATAGCTTCTAGCAAATTTTTTTTTAAATGAAAAAATAAGCCATGTGCAAGAAATGCAAAAAGAATGACAGTTATATTGAATTGTACGTTTCCTGAATTTCCGACTTTATAGTTCTCTTTCAGGAAGGGTTTCGATTAATGAGGAAGAGGTAATATATCTTCATCTACAGGGATGACGTGGGTTATGGAATAAGCTTTTCTTTGTGAGCTGCTAATCAACAGGTGCTAATCAATAATTGTTTGGTAACTCTTCCAGGACTGAGCAAGATAGAATATTATCAACACCGAGGAATCGGTGTCACACTTACTCTCATTTGATAGTGTTTACCCTTAGGAATTAACAATAACAAGAGAAAAAATCCGACTATATTAGATACAGTTTAAGACAGTGAATTATAACTATAGCATTATTAACCATTTAGGTCCACTGTGGTCAAAAAAAGAAAAAATCGCCTGTGGGGATGCACTGCTGATAGGATCTTTCAATACTGTTCACTCTTTCATGTAACCGTCTCCTCTTTTTCCTGAGTAATTACATTTCATATACTTCCTTGAAAATTATCATCCACTTTCCTTCCTTGCACACAAAATAAGGTTAACCCATTTGAAGAAAGAAAGCATTGAGGGCTGACAGGTGGTGTGTAGGTTAAGGTGCTGGACTCCCACATGGCCAACCATGGTTCAAGTCCCAAAACTGGCAGCTTGTTCTCTCCCTCTCCCTCTCTCTGTGAATCTCTCTCTGGTCTAATTGAAGAATAATAATAATAAATAAATTAAATAAATAATTCTTTTTTTAAGGAAAGCATTAATATTACAAATGCCAAATTAATATTATCAACGTATTCCTCAGTCCAGCATGTACTGAGCTTCCACACCAGCTGCCCTGTCGGGTGCTGGGGACACGAGTTGATGAGGATGCAAGGGCCTTCCCTCCAGGAGGTGGCCACCTACTGGACAAGTCACCGGCAGCTAGGACACTGTGATCTTTCTGGTGGAAATGTAGCAGCTGGAACTCTGGCCGCAAGTGACAGAGCGCATGACTTAAACTGGCTTCAGAAATAAGAAGATGACTTCGTTCACAGAACCCAAAGCAGAGGGTGGGGAACCTACACAGAGCACACCTCCACCCAGGGGTGCAGACAACGCCGGGTCCAGCTGGGCCCTTCTCTCAGCACCACCCGCGTCTGCAGGTGGATTCGTCCCCTATGTACTATTTGAGGAGAGTACTCTCTTACTACCCAGTATTGACAGAGGGGTGAGATCTGAAGATTTAATACATCCGTTTTTTTTGTCTTTCTTTTCCTGTTGATCCTGCACTTCTAGTTTCTGGGGTCATATGTCCAAGGAAACTTACTGTACATAAGTCTTTGTCACAGGCTCTGCTTTGGGGACACCCACGCTGACTGGGCTATTACCCCAGCACACACTGACCCCCGAATTTGCCTCTCTGATCTGTTACAGCAGACTCAACAGCCGTGCTTCTACTCTGTGGTCATGACATCCTAGTCACACTCAGTAAAACTGGGGACAGCAGCCTGACAGACAGGCGGGGCCTCCAGGCCCGCTCAGAACTTGCCCCAGGAGTCTGGGATAGACTGGCAGCTGCTCTCCCGGTGCTGGGGTTGTAGCTGATGAAGCCAAAGGGCTTCTCTCCTTTCCCTTGGGTGCTGGACTCACTCACAGAGCCACCAGCTTTGTCAATGAGCCCCTGCTGAGCCTCTGGGAGCTGGAAATACACCAGGTAAGATATTTACATCACAGCAATCAGCAGATGGCACCAGAGGGTGGAGTTAATCCTGTGTTCTGTGATGCTGGGCCCACCCAGGAGGCTCTCAGTGTGTGTCCCAGGGCCTCCCTGTGCACACACAAGCATGTGCCCACAATCCAGGCCGACTGGGGCTGGGGGTGGGTCATGGCATGGAGACCCTGTTGGACTGCTAGGTCTCTCTGTATGTCTTTCATGAATGAAATAGATTAATCTTAAAAAAAAATCAGCAACTCGACAAATTAGCAATTTTCCTCTCATAATTTAGTAGCAGCCAGTTGCCTTCTTCCTTCTGTGGTCTGAAATATGAGAAATACTCATCAGGACCCCATTATAGAACTAACTACCAAACATTATAGGCCAGACAAAGCCAAATAATTCCAAAAATAATAACCTGGACCCCTGTGTTAAAGAAGACCATTTGAGCTGAGATCCCTCCTGACATGAAGGCCTCTGGGCCCACAGAGCAGGCCTTCCTTGATCTGCTGATCCATGATCTGTCTTGAGAAACCAAACTGGGCCTGCCAGCTTCCCCCCAGGAGATGGAGCACACATGACAATACAGGTCTCCATTAACAAGAGACGGGAGAGATACAGAATGTGCTGTTTAACAAAGCCCAGTGTAGACCAGTGACTGCTCCACACTGCAGGTCAGAAAAACTGGCCCTCCTGCCATGAGGAACATGGAGCAGCAGTGGGAAGAAGGATGGCATTGTTTCCTCAACACCACCGCTCCTTTCTGGAGAGAATAGAAGGGTGTACTCACCTCAATAAAACAAGAGCAGCTGGAAGCCTCCGTGTTATCTTCTGTGAGGGCTGAGGTGCAGAGGAAGCCCCGGCTGAAGAGAAGAACAGAGCACAGGACGTGAGGTGGAGGACGTGGTGCTTTAGGCTCAGTGACTTTCTGTCCCTTTCTGGGCCCAGCACACACAGCACTTAGTGCAGTGTAGACAGTGATGTTCTAAAAATGGCGGCCGCTATTTGTAACTCACACCAGCACACTGCGTCAGAGATTATCATACGTTCCCAACCCTCCACTGCCAAACACTGCGGCCGCTTCCAGTTCTCTCTGGACATCGTTTTATATGAGGAGTTCTCAAAAAGTTCGCCCGCTCAGAACTGCCCCCAGGAGTCTGGGATAGACTGGCAGCTGCTCTCCCGGTGCTGGGGTTGTAGCTGATGAAGCCAAAGGGCTTCTCTCCTTTCCCTTGGGTGCTGGACTCACTCACAGAGCCACCAGCTTTGTCAATGAGCCCCTGCTGAGCCTCTGGGAGCTGGAAATACACCAGGTAAGATATTTACATCACAGCAATCAGCAGATGGCACCAGAGGGTGGAGTTAATCCTGTGTTCTGTGATGCTGGGCCCACCCAGGAGGCTCTCAGTGTGTGTCCCAGGGCCTCCCTGTGCACACACAAGCATGTGCCCACAATCCAGGCCGACTGGGGCTGGGGGTGGGTCATGGCATGGAGACCCTGTTGGACTGCTAGGTCTCTCTGTATGTCTTTCATGAATGAAATAGATTAATCTTAAAAAAAAATCAGCAACTCGACAAATTAGCAATTTTCCTCTCATAATTTAGTAGCAGCCAGTTGCCTTCTTCCTTCTGTGGTCTGAAATATGAGAAATACTCATCAGGACCCCATTATAGAACTAACTACCAAACATTATAGGCCAGACAAAGCCAAATAATTCCAAAAATAATAACCTGGACCCCTGTGTTAAAGAAGACCATTTGAGCTGAGATCCCTCCTGACATGAAGGCCTCTGGGCCCACAGAGCAGGCCTTCCTTGATCTGCTGATCCATGATCTGTCTTGAGAAACCAAACTGGGCCTGCCAGCTTCCCCCCAGGAGATGGAGCACACATGACAATACAGGTCTCCATTAACAAGAGACGGGAGAGATACAGAATGTGCTGTTTAACAAAGCCCAGTGTAGACCAGTGACTGCTCCACACTGCAGGTCAGAAAAACTGGCCCTCCTGCCATGAGGAACATGGAGCAGCAGTGGGAAGAAGGATGGCATTGTTTCCTCAACACCACCGCTCCTTTCTGGAGAGAATAGAAGGGTGTACTCACCTCAATAAAACAAGAGCAGCTGGAAGCCTCCGTGTTATCTTCTGTGAGGGCTGAGGTGCAGAGGAAGCCCCGGCTGAAGAGAAGAACAGAGCACAGGACGTGAGGTGGAGGACGTGGTGCTTTAGGCTCAGTGACTTTCTGTCCCTTTCTGGGCCCAGCACACACAGCACTTAGTGCAGTGTAGACAGTGATGTTCTAAAAATGGCGGCCGCTATTTGTAACTCACACCAGCACACTGCGTCAGAGATTATCATACGTTCCCAACCCTCCACTGCCAAACACTGCGGCCGCTTCCAGTTCTCTCTGGACATCGTTTTATATGAGGAGTTCTCAAAAAGTTCGTGGAAAACGTGTTTTATGAAAAAGCTGCACGTGGATTTCAATTTTTTTCCACCAAAATAATCTCATACTTTTAAAATTATTATTATTATTTTAAGATTTTGCCAGAGGGCTCATGTGCTTGTGAGAGACAGAGACACTGAGAAAGTACCCCATGGAGCATGGCCAGGCCACAGTCGCTTCCTCTCTCTCTCCCTCCTTTTGGGATCCTGGGTATGCGTGCATATGTGCCCAGTGTGTTTCTCAAGTCACTGCGTCCAGGATTGGAACCACACAGTCCGCCAAGTGGGAACCAGACACTTTAACCACCATGCCACAGACTGACCCTAAACTCATACTTTAATTCCATTTTTCTACAAAGTTTTTGAGGTATCCTCATATTAGTATATAATAGAGAAAGAGAAATGAAAATTTATTCTGACACTTGTTAAAACTGTAAGAAAGACTTTATTCAAGACTATTGCCATAGAAATATTGTGACAGGGGAGAGATCAGGCTCCACTGTGAATACAGCATAGACAAGTGGGGATTTCTAGCCAAGGACAGGGTGAGGGGCTCCATGCATGAAAAATGTCCAAGGGCAAGATGCCAAGACCGGACCTCCTTGCTGAACTGGCCCTACAGGACTTCTGCTACGGTGGGCCAAGGACTTACACATCAAAGATGAGGAAGGGGCCTTGACCAGACATCAAAGGTGACCCGACATTAGCGGGAGGCAATAGAGTCCTTGCTGAACTGGGCTGCGTGAAGACAGGGCAGATGCAAGAGGCCAAGCTCGGGGCCCAGTCAAGAAGAGGGCACTGAAGAACATGATCAAGTTTGTCAAAGAGAGAGTCTGCAGAGGGAGAGAGAGAGAGAGAGTATTACTTGATTATTATTCCCAGTAATTGGGACCAGCAGGTGGTGTAGTGGCTAAAGTGCTGGACACTCCCACATGGCCGACCACGGTTTGAGTCCTGGGCCTGGTGGCTTGCTTTCTCGGTTTCCCCTCTCTCCTTCTATCTCTCTCTGTGTCTTTCTCTGCTCAAATTAAAAATAAATGAATGAATAAAATTAAATTAAAAAGTAATTATTTAAAAAAAACAGAAATTCCCAGTAATGAAATTCAGACCAAATCCATGAGGGTTTTCTATGTTTCTTGTTACACGCTATCCATGGCTCTTTATAGCACAAATACATGAGCATGTAAGTTTCTCCAGTGTTTGAGTTTTCTTTTGACTCTTTTTCTTTGGTTTTGCTATAGGGTGCGTGCACTCACTGGAGAGAGACAGAGAACGAGAGATAAAGAGGAAAAGTGAGAAACCACCTTCCAGGGGCAATGGCCACACTGAAATCCCTTATTTTTGCCTCTTGGGATTTTGGGTATGCACACACACTCTCCAGGTGTGTTTGTCAAAGCCCTGGTCCAGGACTCGAACCATGCAGTTGAGATCCAGCACTTTAACCTCCACATCGCCTGCTGGCCAGACTATTTCTTTCCTTTTTTTTTTAAGAGAGTTTTAGTATAGAACACATGTGATCACTAGAGAGACACAGAGACACAGAGACAGAAAGAGAGAAATCACTGCCCCTCTCCCCCGGAAGATGGCCACGCTGCGATTCCTTCTCCGTTCTTCTCTCAGGATTTTGGCCATGCACACACACACACACACACACACACACACACACACACGGCATGAGTATTTTTCTTTTCTTTTTTTTTCTTTTTTATTTTTAGAGAGAGAAATTATTGCAATAGGGTGCATGTGCTCACCAGAGAGACAGAGAGAGACAAAGAGACAGAAAGTGAGAAATCACACACACACACACACACACACATCCAGGAGAGATGGCTATATCACAATCCTTTCTCTTCCATTCTCCTCTTGGGATCTTGGGCATGTGCGCACACATGCCTGGCATCAAGTTTAAGCCACCAGGTTTGGGATTTGAACCGCAGTTGACTATGTGAAAGTCCAGCAATGTAATCATTACGCCATCTGCTGGTGCCCAGCATGAGTTTGAAGGCACCAGGTCTGAGATTTGAACCATGGTTGACTATGTGGAAGTCCAGTGACGTAACCATTATGCTATCTGCTCATCCCAAACTACTTCTCTTTTTTTTTTTTTTTTCGGAGAGGTGTTTGCTGTAGGGCACATGCACTCACCAGAAAGACAGAGAGAGACAGAGAGACAGTAAGTGAGAAATTACCCCCCAGGGGGGATGGCCACGCCGCAATCCCTTCTCCTCCATTTTCCTCTCGGGATCTTGGGCACGCACGCACACGCGCCCGGCGTGAGTTTAAGCCACCGGGTCCGGGACTCCAACCACAGTGGACTACATGGGAGTCCAGAGACATAGCCATTATGCTAACTGCTGGTCCCCCACCTACTTCTTAATATATATAAATATCTAAAATTCTCCAGTCATTCTAAAAATAGTCATAAATTAAAGCACAATCGTATAATTGTGTGCTTTATCAACAAAATTTAAGGTTTTTCTTATTCAGCTTATGGCACTCTTGAAGTCTCTTTGGAGTCGTGGCCACCATCTCCACGACAGAGATCAGGCAAACTTGTTTTCAGATATACACACTAGGATTTATTTCAAATGAGATAATTTCTACTTTGTGACCACATGTTCCATGAAAACGGAGACCACAGCTACATGAAGGAGAATGACTGTCCTGGTATAAATACCCCGTGTGACTTCTCTTTCTGACTCAGCCAGGAGCGGGGTGACTTCTCTGGGAGTTTTCTAGCCAGCCACTGAACCATCACTAGGTGCCCGCCAGTCGCTTTCTTCATGCAGCTTCTCTCCCGTGTGCCCTACCTACAGCCAAGGGCAGAGCACGCTGGTCTATACGGAGCTCTAGGCCCCGCCGCAGCGGCTCACGCCACCGAGACACTGTGGTCTGTAGGTTGGGACTACATGGGAGATCCAGGTCCCATCCTAGTCCACTCTCAAGGCCAGAGCAACAGAATGCACCGTAATCTCAGCCATTAGGAAACCCTCCTAAGACTGGGAGATTTCAAGCTTGAGGCTGGCCTGGGCAGCATATCAAGACCTTGTCCAAAAAATGGGACCTGGTGGTTAAGGCAGCTGGACCCCACATCGCCAACCGTGCAGTTCGAGTCCTGGACAAGGCACTTTGAAAAACACATGCCTGCTCATGTGTGTGCCCAAAATCCCAAAAGAAGGGAGAAACAAAGAAGGGATTGTGGCATGACCGTGCTCCCTGGGGGTGCTTTCATGCTTTCTTGCTCACTCGCTCTCTTTCTCTCACCCTGGTGAGCATATTCCCCCTCTTACAAACTTAAAAAAAAAAAAAAAAAAGAGGGACCAGCAGATGGTGTAATGGTTATATCACTGGATTCCGACATGGCTGACCACAGTTCAAGTCCGAGACCCAGCAGTTTGAAACTCACACCAGGCACATGTGCATGCATGCCCAAAATCCTGAGAAAAGAATGGAGGAGAAGGGATTGCAGCGTGGCCATCTCCCCTGGACGGTGATTTCTCACTTTTTGTCTCTCTGTCTCTCTCTGTCTCTCCAGCGAGTACACATGCCCTTTGGCAAAAATCTCTCAAAAGAAGGAAGGAAGGAAGGAAGGAAGGAAGGAAGGAAGGAAGGAAGGAAGGAAAAAGAGAAAGAGAAAGAAAGAGAGGAGAGAGAGAGAAAGCAAGCAAGCTCTTACTGTCTCTGGCAGTTGCAACATTTTCAAATTTTCTCTGGGAAAATACAAACTCGGCAACTGTTACGACCATACAATTTACTCGTCATAGGCAAATGGAACATTTCACTAGAAGACCCCGAAGTAAACTTCTCGTGGTGTGGGAGAACAGCATATCCCTGTTCTTTTACTGAAATACCTCTGCGTTATCGTCCTAAAACAGAGAACTACTGACTTGGACAAAGGGCAGGCCAGGCATGCCGTGCTGAGCATTCACAACGGCTCGTGACCACTCATGAGCCCGGGCGTGGTGCCAGTCTCTGTTAAGCACTTTTCCTATACTTACATGCCATGAATTCCATTCAAAATTAATTCAATGAATTCTCTCTAAACCTAGGAAGGAAAAATTATTAGCAGCCCATTCTACAGATGAAGAAACTAAAGAACCAAGAATTTAAAAATCCAGCCCAAGGTCATACAATAAACAAGGGGCAGAGCTGAGATGCAAACTCACACCCATCTGACTCCAGACACCAAAGTCTTAGATAGCTATCTCAAGGATAAGGAAGAAAACTAATACCAGATTTTCCTCAAGAGGGACATGTGCTCTTTATGTTATCCGGACCCTTAAAACCCATTCACCCCACTGGCCTCTGAGCTTCCATCAGTTTACAATTTAACATCTAACGCTTTTTAATTATACAAAACTCTAAAAAATAAAAAAATAAAATAAATAAAATAAAATAAAATAAACCATCAGTTCCTTAAGCTTTAGTGGTACTTTGGCACTGTTTTAAAAGTCAGCCCTGTACATTGTAATTGTTAGATGTCAGGCAAACTCCAATTCACTGTCAGGTCTCCATTGCCCGGAAGGAAGCACAGCCTTCACCGATACACCTTACGCAGCGCCTCTGCCTCGGGTTCATGCAGTTGTCGGCCTCTTCCCAACCCTTAAGACGGGTGGACCAGAGCCACAAAGAGCAGCACAGGTTTATACCTATCAGGGCTTGGTTGAAGCGCCAAGGACTTCCGTTTTGTTTTGTTTTGTTCGTTCTGTGATCCCGATGACGAGTCTTGACCTAGTCAGCAATGGAGACACAAGGTGTGTCTTCCTGGGTATTTCTGTCTCTGGGATCACCCCGAGCTGGCATGGTGGAGAGAACCCTGCTTGTCGATGGTGGCTCAGATCCAGTTCCCTGCTTGCCCGATGTACCGGAGCACCGTTGTGGGAAGGCCACCGCAATGCCAACTTCCTCACTCACAAATGGGAGAACGGGCGAGCAGCTGCACTGTGGCGGTTAAAAACGTGGGCGCTGGAGCCCAGCCGCCTGGTTCAAAGTGAGCTTGATTCTGGATGGGTGCTAACTCGGGCAGCTTACTTGACCCCTTACCTGATCCTCAGTGTCCTCCTGTACTGATGAAAATGTCAACAGGAATATCTAGTTAAAAGATCAATGATCATTATAAGCAATGGATGAGTTAATAAAGTACTTAGAACCCTGGCAAAATAAGTACTCGCTATTGTTATATTACAAACGTACCATGAGGACTAGGTACCCTTTGTTTTCTCTTTTTTTTAGAGAGGTTTTTGCTATTGGGTGCCTGCACTAACCAGAGAGATGGAGAGAGACAGAGAGACAGAAAGTGAGAAATCACCCACCCCCAGGGGGATGGCCACGCCGCAATCCCTTCTCCTTCATTTGGGCACACATGTACGCATACCCTAAGAGAGTTTTGAGCCTATGGGTCTGGGATTTGAACTGTGATTGCTCATGTGGGAGTCCAGTGATGTAACCATTACGCCATCTGCTGGTCTCCTGAGCACCCTTTCTATGTAAGGGCAAACATGGACATGTGGTGCCTGAGCTATTAGCGAGCACTGGCCTCCGTTCCCACTGTGTACTCACCAACCCCAGCACTCTCCATGTGCAAGGCCTGCAGACCACTGAGAATACCAGCGAGTCTCCCTTACTACTCACATTCTCCTGAGAATACAACACAGAAGCCGATAAATGAGTACACCACGAAATGAGAACGAGCCCCTCCTGTGTCCTAGCCCTCTTCTAGGCCAGGCAGAGGTGCACCTTACAGGCCAGCCCTCATCCTCAAGAGCTCCCAACATAGGAAAGCAGAGCTGACCCCACTGAACGCAGCTCAGAAGTTTCACTGTGAACTTGAAAACAGAAGAGGAATATGGAGTTTTGAGAGGACCCAGGAGGTCCCAGGACCTGGATCTATCCAATTCCTAAGTCCCAGGCGCTTCCGAGACCCTTCACAATCTGCTAACGTAAACAGACCATCTCCACAAGGAGCCGTAAGTTTCAGGGTGGAGCCGTGCACGCGTTGGCAGTTTAATATTTCATGTTCTACGTCCTGCCGTTGGGCGTAGATGTCCTGGCCCCAGGGCCTCTGTGTTTGTAGCTGGCCATCAGCTGGTTGTGCCCTAGCATAATCTGCTTTGTATGCCCAAAGCTGACTTTGAAGACACCTGCTTTAGAAACGTCACTAGTTAAATTGAAAAATAGAATAATTAACCATTGTTTTCTTTCTTACTTTTTCTTTCTTTCTTTTGTTTTTCCATTTCTCTATCCTTTTAAGATTTGGGGCCCAACATGTTTTTCAGGTCACCAGAGCTAGGATTCGAACCAGATGGTTGGCCATGTAGGATTTGGCACCCTTAACCCTCACGCCATGGGGCTGGGCTACAAGTGCTTTTCTATACAAAAAAATATATATCGAATAACTTTAACCAAGTTAAAAACAGCCAAAATGTTCCTGCTAGTTAAGAGTAGGTGTTTTCATTAATAGCAATTTTGTGAAAGGCAAGTAAAAATTAAATGAACAAATAAGTTATTCAACTCCTATGCATTGACACTTCAGTGATCTCAGGGGGGAATTTTCTGAAAGACTTAACTGGCCTGCAATAATTACTTTCTCTTTCAGTTGCTGTTACACACATTTTCTGGCAGGAAGTCTCTCCTTAAACGTGGCGCTGCACCCCAACGAACGTTCTCACAGAGAAGAAAACTGAGCAGGCAGCCCGGTCCCATGGTCAGCCACGGGTTCAAGTACTTAAACCACTTTTGGTCCAATGACCCTCGAAGGGGGTTTCCCTTTATGAAAAGCCCCCTGACTCACAACTCTGGGGTAGGAATTCACAGTTTCTAAGCTTGAGCAACTCGTAGAAAAGAAGGAAACAAAAGATGTGAAAAACATGGTTTGCATAGACTCAATCAGAAAGTACCAGAAGGCCTGGGCATAGAATAATTTCATTCAGGAAAACAGAAATCTATGGGACAACAAACCCTCCAGCTATGTGAAAAGAATAATGGCCGCGAACGTGCTTTCAGAATGGGCTTCCGGACACTAATGTTCACGTGACTCCCTGGTGACCTTGCCAAAAGGCAGATTCTGATTCAGTAAGTGTGTGTGTGTGTGTGTGGCGGGGGGAGCCTTCAAACTCACCATTTCTCATCTCCTTGTTCGTGAGGCCAGGACTGCTGAGCCCTGAACCACACTGGGACTAGCCACGTGGAAAGCATACGTACCTGCTCACTGTAATTTAAACGGTTACACTGAAACACCATTTCGTAAATTAATCTGAAGATTCAGGCACTTCTACAAATAAAAGGGCTAGGAATTAACTGCTCATTTAATCGACATTATTGAGCCCACCCCGTGGCAGGCCTTTTTGGTAGGGACTAGCTATTCAACCGTAACTAAAGCAAAAGAGACCCTTCATCAATCTTCTTTTGACTCATCCCCCAAGAGGGCAACAGGCACTGAATTAAAACAGTTTTCATCACTCACCACCTAAGCGAATCAATCATGTTCTTGTGTTAAGTTTTCCTGATGTAATTTTTTGAGAGAGTTTTGCTATAAGGTGCGTGTGTACTCACTAGAGAGACCGACAGACAGAAAGTGAGAAATCATCCCCTGGAGGGAAGGACATGCCACAATCCCCTCTCCTCCACAGTCAAGATTTGGGGCACACACACACACACACACACACACACACACCCCTACCTGAGTTTCATGTCATTGTGTTCAGGACTCGAACCACAGTTGGCCACATGAGAGTCCAGCGCCTTAACCACTACATACCTGCTGGCCCCTTAATGTAATATTTCTAGGACTGCTGCAGTTTGGATTCTTTGCATGCTGGAAATAATCAGCAATTTAATTCAGTAAACTAACATTGATCTATTTTGTAGGAGCTAGTGATAGAATTTCAAAGTTTTCATATTCATGACATAGTTTACTAGCACCTACATTATTGCAAGTGTTGGTGAGTCATTTCAGTTAAGGTTAAAGTGGAGATGTACAGTGATGTGGCAAAAAATGTTCATCTAATACTGATTTCGTATGACCAGTGCTCTGGATAGGTGTCATGGCTCTGTCTCACACTTGTGTAGAGAATACAAACCCAGGGAACTGGACTCATCAAGATTTCACCTTTTTCCCCAGGAGCATCACCTACTACCTCACTACATATTCGTTGGCAAAACAGGGTCACCAGTACTTCAAATTTGGCCAGGTTAGACATACCAGGAGAACAGATGACCTATCCGAGTTTCTTTTTGTCCTCCTAGAACGATGACTGTAAGCAAGAAGGGAAAATACAGGGAACCAGCAGTTAGCATAATGGCTATGTCACTGGACTCCCACGTAGTCGACCACGGCTCACGTCCCGGACCCGGTGGCTTAAAACTCACGCCGGGCGCGTGTGTATGTGTGCCCAAGATCCCGAGAGGAGAATGGAGGAAAAGGGATTGCGGCATGACCATCCCCCCTGTGGGGCGATTTCTCGCTTTCTGTCTCTATGTCTCTCTCTGTCTGTCTGGCAAGCGCATGCGCCCTATACCGAAAAACCCCCCAAAAAAAAAAAAAAAAAAAGAAGGGAAAATACATACAGGAAAGGCCATGTCCAGGGCTGGCAGGTGGCATGATGGTTGGACTCCCACATGGCCAATCGCAGTTCAAGTCCTGGACCTGGCAGCTTGCTTTCTCACTTTCCCTCCCTCTTTCTGTTTCTCTCTGGTCAAATAAAATAATAATAATAATAAATAAAATAAAATAAACAATTAAGAAAAAAGAAAGGCATGTCTAAGGAGCCTACTGATACTCTTTGACTTATGAGGTAGTTATATTCTGATAAATCTACCATATACCAGCTCTATCTCATGTCAAAATTTCACACACCTAACCTACCGAACATCATAGACTAGCCTAGCCTACCTTAAACACACTCAGAACACTTACATTAGCCTACAGAGGGGTGAAATCATCTGACACAAAATCTATTTTATGATAAAGCGTCAAGTATCTCATGTAATTTAGCGAACACTGTCCTGAACATAAAAGCAGAATGGTTGTATGGGTTCTGAAAGCAAGCTTCTCCCTGAATGCATACGATGTTTGCATCATCGCAAAATAAAAGGTCTGAAGTCAAACCGCCCCACGTCGAGGCCACCTCTGTTCACAAACGGCCTCTGACCCCAGGGGAAGTCTTGGCTTACCAGATTTCGCCTCTTAGGAAGGTGCCACCAGGTGGCAGCATCTGTCACGGCTTGTGCCAGTGTACCCATTAAAGCCCAGGTCTCTGAGAGTCTGCTGTGTCGGACCTAGAGAAGGGCTGGTGACAAGGACGAGGCAGTGGGGTTCTGCACAGATGGAAAAGGCATCGGGACAGTATTATGACACAATTTCATACTTGAAAGCAAAACAAATCTGGTATCACTGGTATTCTCCTAGACTTTAAAATCTGGGCTCGTGGGACTACCCAGATGCAATGGCCATTTTCAAAGAATGGGGGAATGGTACAGAGAGGGGCATAGATTTTAACCGAGACCCCCACGATGAAAGTGTGGTTCCAGAATGGAATCTGTGAGCAATGTGCTTCCCACAGTATAGTTACAATGCTTTGGCATAATGCCAAGTACAGGGTAAGACAATGCAGTCAATTTTCACTTCTTTTTCTCCCCTTTCCTTCTCCTGAGGGAAACTGTCCCAGAGCAACTGTTATTCACCAATCTCTAAGAGTTCTGTTTTCTCTTCCCATACTTTTCTCATAGGAAAATCACTAAGAATCTAATAATCATAAATGTCTGGGAAGTAGTCGTGGACGCTTGGCTGATGGAGAATCAGGAATAAAGTGGGTCTTTCTGAGTAAGACTTCAGACTAACAGTAAGTCTCCAGATTGATTACAGTAACTGTGGTTACTCCAGTTGGCATGACCCCAGGTCAGCGGTCAGCTTTAAGAGCCTCGTGTCTCATCTTTAATGGGCCTGTTCATCTACGCTCCAACATAGAGAAATTTTCACCATCTGTATTATTGTTTTACATGATGAATTAGGATATTTTAGGGAAAAAGAAAACTCCTTCCTAACTTTTAAAAGAGGTGACCTGTATTTATCCTGTTGAAATACACATTTAAGACTCAAGAATACAATTGGCCTGCTGTATTCACAGACTGCATCACCAGACTCAATCAACCACAGAGAAAATATTCAGAATAAATCAATAACAAGGCAACAATTGAAAAATACAACTTTAAACACAATTTACTGAGTCATTGAAAAAGTCATGACATATTTTTCCATTTTTCTATGCAAAAAATGCATCATGATTTTTCTGACAACCAAATATCATTAACTATTTATATTGTATTTACATTGTATTAGGTATTATAAGTAATCTAGAGATGATTTAAAGCATATGAGGATGGGACTGGCAGGTGGCATGGTGGTTGGAACACTGGACTCCCACATGGTTGACTATAGTTTAAGTCCTGGACCTGGCAGCTTACTTTCTCACTTTCCCTTTCTCTCTGTCTCTCTCTGGACAAATTAAGAAAAAAAAAGTAATAAAATTAAATTAAATCATTCTTTAAAAAGAAAGTATTGGAGATGTACATAGGTTACATGCAAATAATACACCATTCTATACAAGGGGGGAGGTTCTTGGAACCAATCCCCCATGGACATGGTGGGATGGCTGTATGTAGATTAAAAGTGTTACTATTCTCCTTTTCCTATAAAATTTGATCTCATCATCAGTGTATACTACTTGCATTATTAGAAACAGATGTCAAAACTTTAGTGAACCAGCCCACTAGCCTACTGATTAAGGGAAGCCAGATCCCACATGGCTACAATGTGAGTCACACTCAGGTGGCTTGAGGAGCAAGCAGGGTGTGTGCGTGTGCATGTGCGTGTGCATGCGTGCATTCCCCAAATCTACTCTGGTATTCTTTTTACTCTTGTATTTCTTTTACTCTGGTATTTTTCTACTCTTCCTTTATTTCACACGGTCCTTACCGTACTCAATAATCTTTGGCTGCTGTAAGGAGTGTCTGCTCGCCAAACCCTTTCCCCGTACTCAGGCGCCACGTTGG